TGACCCCCAGAGTCACTCTATAATTAGATATGTTCTCCAACCCCTTGATCCCGTGCAGAAATAACTCTCAGAATATGACCAAACAGGAAAGACCCCTTCAGTAGAGCGCAGCTAAATGAAAGAGATTGATAGCCATCTGAGTATTGTTGTGTTTGAATGTGGTTAAATAGTTGCTTTTGTTGTCTTTTTAGGGTTCGTATAACTAGTTGACATACAATAATTGGCCAACATAGCTCACACTTCCTTCTTCATAAACTTCTTTTTAGACCTTTTTAGTCGATCTATCTCGGTTTGTTCTCGACCTACTTCTCTTCGATATCGAGTGCAGCGCAAGCCCTGAGGTCTTCATATCACTTAATTCGTAAGTTTCAGCCGACTACATTTCCTGATAGCACACATGCGTCTATTTAATGTGTGTGTTTTCATCTGGAAGATGTGATCTCTAAAATGTTACCTGTTCTTCCAGATGAAAATTTCTTTTTAGATGTAAATGATAGATCTTTTAAAGGAGTAGTTCAATTATATAAAAAAAAAAAAATTTTAAAAAAGTTTGCTGCTAATTTATTCTTTCTTTCTTCAGTCGAAAAGAAATTAAAGTTTTTGATGAAAACATTCCAGGATTTTCTCCATATAATGCACTTCATTGGGAATCAAACGGTTCAAGGTCCAAATGAGAGTTTCAGTGCAGCTTCAAAGGGTTTTAAACGACACCAGGCGATGAATAAGGGTCTTATCTAGGACCCTTCGAGTCATGACTCGAAAAATGATTCGTTCATTTTGATGAAGGAGTTTGAACAGGAGAGTCACGAACGCGCATCACAGAACAGAGCAAGGCGAGCATTTGTGCTTATAAAACTTAAACTCTTTTATTTATTTTCGAAATGCCTGATCGTTTCACTTGATAAGACCCTTATTCATCGTCTGGAATCGTTTAAAGCCCTTTGAACAGTGTGCAGTTTGCACTGAAACTGTTTTTTGGACCTTGAACCGTTTGGTTCCCATTGAAGTCCATTATATGGAGAAAATCCTGGAATGTTTTCATCAAAAACCTTAATTTCTTTTCGACTGAAGAAAGAAAGACATGGACATCTTGGATGACAAGGGTAAATTATCAGCAAAAGTTTTTTTTAAAAGTGAACTACTCCTTTAAGAACATTTATCAGATGTAATGTGTTGCTTTCTAGATGTCTTGGAGATATACACTAGTGCTTCCAAGCCAAATTAATAGTAGGGCTGTCAAGCAATTCAAAATTGTAATCTAATTAATTACATGATGTGCCGATTAATTAGGAATCACAAATAATAATCGCACACCAAATTCGGCTGAGAAGTTATCCACGAAAGATCATTTAAAGTCATTGTTGTGGAAAATGAGAAAAGCATCAAACAGATATTACAAAAAGTTGCTTTAGAAAGAAAGGTTTTATTTTATTCAACATGGAATTTAGTACACATGAACTTTTAGGGTTCAACGGCCATGTTTTTTTTTTCCCCAGAAGCTGCATCTGAATTGGTATTTGGATATATGTACAGACTTTTTGTTGCAGCTCAGAGGTGGCATTTACAATAACTAATAACTAATGCTATAGGTTTTAAAAGGGTATTAAAGCGACAGTTCACCCAAAAATGTTGTTTCAAACCTGTATGAGTTTCCTTTTTGTGTAGGACATAAAAGAAGATTTCATAAAAGGACATTTTTCAGTGGTAACCAAGCGTTTGGTAACTAACAGTCTTCAGCATATCCTCTTTTATGTTCCACAAAAGAAAGTCATACAGTTTTGTAATGACGTAAGGGTGAGTAAATGATGACAGAATAATCATTTGTGGGTGAACTATCCCTTTAATGTTTTTTTATTATTATTATTATTAATAGAGAAATATGATTTTTTTTTTATTGAATGATTCTCTCTAAACTAAAACTGCCAGTATGTGGCAATAAATTCATTCATTAGCTTCATTCAAAGTATTGATTCATTCATGAATGAAGTAAATTACTCTCTTTATGAATGGTGCACAACAGTTCTGCTCTAGCTTTATTGGTAATATTTTCGTTGGCAAAATTGAGCAAAAACAGATAAAATTTTGTCTAAAATACAACACAATATTAACTTCTTATTTATTGAACTATTGTATAAAATGAATATCACATTTGCACTCTTGCTATTCACTATTAACATATCACTCGTGTGATATCGCGCTCATTACTTATGTCATATTGCGTAACTAATATCATATGATATATCAAAAATGCCCTGTACGTTTGTCACCTATCAATTTAAGATCTGGTCTGGGATGGGTGCGTTAAAAGCATTAATCATTTTAACACATTTTTTCCATAAATAATTAATAAAATTAACGACAGCCCTAATTAATAGTGTTACATTTTTAGGAAAGCTTGGTTTTATGCGTTGCTTCTTTGTAAAAGTATTACGCAGTTGCTGTTGTCGTGACATTCAGCGGACATCTTGTTTTTTCGTTTGGCTTGATAATGCGACACCATTTTTTCTGAACAAGATAGACTGTAGAAGATAAAATCAATAAAGACCAATCACAATTTAGTATGTAAATGAGTGCAACAAAGAAGACCAGTCAGTATTTAGTATGGACATATTACAATTGCATGGTAACGAACAAAGTCAAATTTTCAATGTAAATGGTTAAAAAAAAATTGTGTTCGGACCGCATTGACGTCCATTATATAGAAAAAAACAATCATTTGCGTTTAGAAGAAAGTAAGTCATTCAGGTTTGGAGACGAGTTTTAATTTTAGGACGAACTGTTCCTTTAAGTAAAATGTTTAGCACATTATACATTAAGTATAATGTTTAACTCGCAAGCACAGCTAAGATGTGCTTGAATTTTCTACAAAGTTTGAATGTAGCCTGTGTTTAGTGCTTCGTATCAATTCCAGAAGACTATAAAACACATAAAAATACAATAAAAAGATACTTTGCAAGGTGTCTTGGCAATGCTAATGCTACTGAGAGCTGTTCTCAGCGCTAGGCTAATTAGCACATATATTACATTGGGTAAACGGGGGGGGGGGAGGAAATTGCTTTGTCACATTTCCACATAGCAGAGTGTGTTTGTTGCACATTCGCACACATTTCCAAGTCTTGTTTAATTTCCAGTGTGGTTTAACCATGTAATAAAAAGACAAGAGACAAGGCGCAAAAGAACGCTTTCCAATATGAGGAGGACTCGCTCAACAAGGTGTTATTTTGTTCTTAGTTTTTTTTTATATTGGTCCGACATCATGCAGTGTGTTGGTCATAACAGGAATTCTCAAGTTGTGTCACATATCTTGGTGTTAATTTGTATGGTCCTCTTTTAAAAGGAATATCAAACAAAAAATCCAGTCGCCTGAAATAGTTCAGCTTTACCGTAGTGTGGCTGAAGAAGCCAATTATTGTACCGAGTTACTTTCCTGCACTATATAACAAAGTTAGCCCACACAAATGACCCAAAAGCCATTTTTAGGGTTTCACAGCAGCAGTGCTACTGAAATAGTTTCTTCATCTGATATTACTGAGCCTGCACTCAGATACATGCTCTGTACCGTTGACTTTGTGGAGAATTTCACATCTAGTTTTGGCAAAAATTGTCTCTTTCTGTTCAGATGCTGCCTACGAGCGCGCACGGACATAAACACATGCATGCTCACACTTAAAGCAACTGCCAAGATGTAATTAGCTGGTAACATCTAACACGTCTCACCTACACACTCCTACTCATGCAAACAAACCAAGCAACCCACAGCTCAGCAGATTTACAGCATTATCTAAACATACAGAGATGGTGGTGCGAGAACAGATGCCCACTCATGCCCATCACACACACACGCACGCACTCATACTCTTGTGTTTAGCGTACGGTTAACACACAGAGCTTTAAAACTCCAGTATACCCTGCAGTGATACATGGCCATAGTGGCTCTAGACTAGTATATATATTTACACACATGTCAGGGGTCTCAAATATATCAGGGTAATTATCAGAGCTATATATTCTTATTTGTCTGTTTCTCTAAAGACATCTTAGGAGAAACATCTGAGACACACACGTGTACTTGAACGAGCTACGAATGAGCTTTTGTGGAGTAATTGACCTTGGTTTCTTTTGATTTAACTAAACTTGAAAGATAAATGATATTGGAGGATTGTCTTTTTTCTCTTTGTTCTCTCCTTTTTTTCTTAGTTTATGGTCCCTTTAACTGCATCATTGGTATTTGGTCCTCTTAATGCAGGCATATTTGGCAACATACCAATGTGTGTGTGTGTGTGTGAAGAGAATGAATGAGATTAATGAAAGGATACTGGTAATAAAAAAAAGAAAGAAACTAGTGAAAGTGACTATAAGAGAGCGAAATCATAGCGTACTTTTCAAAGAATACCACGGTAATACCGTGGAATTGCCGTTATACATATCCAAAAGTACTTTGACCATGGTAAATGTTTAAGAATACCGTGATGCAAGTCCAGAATATGTGATTTTTCATAGTACATATGCAATACATGTTTCATAGTACATTTACTTTGTTAAAAAATATGGTATTTTTTAAGTACATGTTCACAAGAGATTATGCAATTGCACATGTTTGACAAAACATGTCCAAAACCAGATTTAGGACATATATTTTGAGACACTTTACTTAATGCAAGTAAAAAAAAACTTAGACTACGGCTACATAATAAAAAGCATGAGAAAACCCTGTTATTACCGCAATACGTTTTGGCGAGTGTTAGAAAAGAAAAGTTCAAATATCTTTCCCACTTTTCTGAATAGCATTTTCACTCCTGAATCAAGTTTCTTTCTTTTTTTCTTACCAGTATCCTTTCATCCTATTTTACTAATCTCATTCATTCTCTTCAAAGTTCTTAAAGCACGAGGATCTCTTACCTGCAGCTCGGTCTCACTCAGGATGTGTTTCTCTCTCTTTGTCTCCGTCGGTGTGTGTGTTTCCCGCTTGCGTGTCTTCGCTGTGTGTGTGTGTGTTTTAGGCGGTGTTTGACTTCAGCAGCAGCGGACGCTTGGAGCTCAGTCTGAAGGCTGGAGACGTGATCTTCCTCTTGCGGAGAGTCAACGCTGACTGGCTGGAGGTGGGAGAGAGATGGAGAGAGAGAAGGATAACAGGATAGAGGCAGAGAGAAAGGTAGAAGAGGATAGGTAAGCCGGAGGAGAGGAGAGAGAGAGAGAGGGGGAGGGAGGAGGGTTTGTAAGATAAGGGAGGGAGAGAGAAAAAGAATGAAGCAACGTGATCACATTTATGTTTGGAGGTATTTGTGAGTAAGTGTGATTGTAGCACACATAGGACCAGATTTACCAACAGCTTCAGCTATTTTGGCGGGTCAGGATTTACTAAAGACACGCAGTGAAAAATTAGCGCTGAAAAGGCTTATTTTTGTGGGTGATCTTACTGCATATGCATTTGTAAGAGTTTCCCTTTCAGACGGAGTATTTCAGTGAGGAAAATATTTAAAGCGATCATGCAAGGGGATTTACTGAGGTTTGCGCTAATATGTACCATCCATACAAGCATGTCTAAAATCAGATGCTAATAGAGCTTCAGAGAGCTAGAGAGAGCGTTGGCGTCGGAAGTAAATTTCCCATTAATTTTTCCCATTGACGTTTTGGAAAATCCATATGTAAAGAGTATTAGAGCATGTCTGAGGATAACCAGCTATGGCTGAACTCATAAGCATACAACATATCATTTCGAGTGAAAAAACGAAGAGAAAATCCCCAAAAAAGTCAAGGGTACAAGCCTGTGCACATATTTTGATTTCCGAGCAAAGGAACTACTCCTCCCATAAACCACCGCGCCTCACTGAAGTCGACTGAAGCCACCGTGAAAGAGCCTTTTGAGTAAGTTTCGGCCACGTGAACTTTATATAGTGAATGTGCAGGGAAACTCATTTTCCTCGCTTTACTGAAGCAAACGCATTTGCAGCTCCACATGCTAAAACATTGAGCATCTGGCTCGCTCATTGGCTGTGCTGGGGCAACTGCACATCCAATGGCGCGGGGGCGTCTCTGAGGTGCGACCAATGAACTTAGCCCTACGTCAATACACGATCTTCAGTCTTCAAGCGCCTTCGCGGGGTTTCAGACATGTGACACGACTTCCACCAATCAGATGCATCACTGTGGATTGTGGGATTGTTCAGGATTGTGGGTAATGAAGTACTTATCCAATACATCGCAAATAAAAGGGATTTATCTTAAAACAAGGTTAGTGCCCCATGTAACACAGTCTCATCAGTCTCGTCTTTTGACCATACGTCAACATCCGCTGTTTTAGGGTACCCTTTAACGTCGGTTACATGACGATCCTCGGACGTCATACAACTGATGCTTTACCTTTAACGTCAGTTAGGTTTAGGGGTAGGTTTAGGATCCGATGACGTCATCTAACCGACGTTAAAGGGTATCCTAAAACGGCGGATGTTGACGTATGGTCAGTTATATGACGTCTTGGGATGAGACTGCGCTGCCCCATGAACTTTTGGCGTTTATATGAGCATATACAATCGCTTAGTACAGCCGTAGCTGGTTTTAAGTCTACCATGTATGGTTACGTTTTTATGGCTTATATCCCACCTGTCAATGGAGAAATTGTATTGAATTTTTTCCTCCGGCACTGGCTGTGGGCGGGACTTTAATGCTCTATTTGTGCTGCTCTTGGTAGATTGTGTTGGCTATTGTAGAAATGATCCGGCTATATTCTTTAATTTGCACGTCATCAGTAGATCACTAGAAGAACTTTCCACTCTCACCTGTGTTTTATAGGATTCACACTAATGTACCCTGATTAGTAACTCTGGCCCAGATACGTCTATATGTGTGATGTCTACACTGAAAATATGTTGACCTTAAAACATCTAAATTAATTCATTTTAAGTCAAAAATATAATTTAACATCACTGAGTCAACCTTAAAAACATTTTGTATTTCCGAGTGAAACGGCTTCTTGAGCGAAAAATGTAGAGCGGGACTTGATTTTGTCCATTGGGAATTGATCGGATGGTTGTGGTTTGCTATTGGTCGATCTCATATGAGTGACAGGTTGCCCCGCCCGTCAGAGACATACAATGTTCATTGTATATTGTATTGAAAGGGTAATTTTATTGTCTACATAATATGAGATTATCGTCATCAGATTCATTGAATGCTTTAAACTCATTTTAAATATTGTTATTTTAAAATATTTTTTTAACACAAGGCAGATGCTTTTATTCAGAGCAACTTACTTTGCATTAAAGGTGTAATCAGTTCGTTAATTCCCTGGAGTAATGACCTTGAACTGTACTGTGAGCTATAGGAATGTCCTTTATGTTACATAAACACAAATATGGCCAGCATACATTTTATACTCGCATATCTGGATTTCATTGGTAAATTTGCCATAAAAAAAAGGTTAATAAGAGTTTGGCAATTTCAGTTATCAATATCAAAATATTTAAAAGTAAACAATACATTGATATCACACATATCAAAGCGGCAAAAATGTGTGTACACTTTACATACTAATACCTTCAAACACACACCTCTCTGGGTGGGGATACAGCATCAGGAGAGCATGATGGATGGAGGGATTCACTAAAGAAAGGAAGAAGAGAAAACATTTTAAGGATAAAGCGATTGAGGGAAGGAACACTAAAAAGATTCACTTATGAACGAAAGATGATGGTGGGAGTAAGGAAGGATATGTATTAGAGTGTGTGTGTGAAGGAGTGGTACATTGAGAGTGAGATGGTCTGATCTGATCTGAACAGACACACACTCACATATACTTTTTATGAGTTAGATATCTGCAATCTTTCGGCCCATGACAATAAAGGAGAAAGATATGACCAGAATTGAATTGCAGAGAGACAGAGAGAGAAAATTGGATATTGCATAGACATGCAATGGACCCTCAAATAACATTATCGAGATTAGAGTGGGTGAAAGAGAAAGATCAAGCTGTAACTCGCTAGTTCAGTGCCACTGAAACTCCTCTTTTTTTTTTTTTTTTTGCTTGAATGCACTTAATGTGAAGATCAGGGGCGTAGCAATCATTATTCCTCTCCCTTCTGTGGACATTAATGCCCAGCTTCACTGTGTCCCCTCCACTTATCTTATCAGCTCTCCCCTCTACAGATACAAGAAACCAGGCCACTGAAACACATCAGCTCTGAGATGACAGACAGACAGACAGACAGACAGACAGACAGACAGACAGACAGATAGACAGATAGATAGATAGATAGATAGATAGATAGATAGATAGATAGATAGATAGATAGATAGATAGATAGATAGATAGATAGATAGATAGATAGATAGACAGATAGACAGATAGAGAAACAGACAGACAGACAGACAGATTGACAGATATACAGACAGACAGACACACAGATAGATAGATAGATAGATAGATAGATAGATAGATAGATAGATAGATAGATAGATAGATAGATAGATAGAGACAGAGATATAGAGAGAGACAGATATACAGACAGACAGATAGACAGACAGACAGACAACAGACAGACAGACAGACAGACAGATAGATAGATAGATAGATAGATAGATAGATAGATAGATAGACAGATAGACAGATAGAGAAACAGACAGACAGACAGACAGATTGACAGATATACAGACAGACAGACACACAGATAGATAGATAGATAGATAGATAGATAGATAGATAGATAGATAGATAGATAGATAGATAGATAGATAGATAGATAGAGACAGAGATATAGAGAGAGACAGATATACAGACAGACAGATAGACAGACAGACAGACAGACAGACAGACAGACAGACAGACAGACAGACAGATAGATAGATAGATAGATAGATAGATAGATAGATAGATAGATAGATAGATAGATAGATAGACAGACAGATAGAGAAACAGACAGACAGACAGACAGATTGACAGATATACAGACAGACAGACAGACACACAGATAGATAGATAGATAGATAGATAGATAGATAGATAGATAGATAGATAGATAGATAGATAGATAGATAGATAGAGACAGAGATATAGAGAGAGACAGATATACAGACAGACAGACAGACAGACAGACAGACAGACAGACAGATAGATAGATAGATAGATAGATAGATAGAGAAACAGACAGACAGACAGACAGACAGACAGATATACAGACAGACAGACACACAGATAGAAAGATAGATAGATAGATAGATAGATAGATAGATAGATAGATAGATAGATAGATAGATAGATAGATAGATAGTTCCATAAATAAAATGTTCCATTTCATTTATTTTACACTGTTAATTTGTACAATCAATTTAAAATGCTATATTATTTTACTATGTTGATGTCTTTATAATTATTCTATGTATTCCAAGCTTTGGCAATATTGTATGATGTACAGTCATGCCAATAAAGCAATTTTGAATTGAAAAAGATAGATAGATAGATAGATAGATAGATAGATAGATAGATAGATAGATAGATAGATAGATAGATAGATAGATAGATAGATAGATAGAGATGTAGAGAGAGACAGACAGACAGACAGACAGACAGACAGACAGACAGATAGATAGATAGATAGATAGATAGATAGATAGATAGATAGATAGATAGATAGATAGATAGATAGATAGATAGATACAGACAGAGATATAGAGAGACAGATATACAGACAGAGAGACAGACAGATAGACAGACAGACAGACAGACAGACAGATAGATAGACAGATAGATAGACAGATAGATAGATAGATAGATAGATAGATAGATAGATAGATAGATAGATAGATAGATAGATAGATAGACAGACAGACAGATAGATAGATAGACAGACAGATAGATAGATAGATAGACAGACAGACAGACAGACAGGCAGACAGCAGACAGACAGACGGATTGACAGAGAGACAGATATACAGACAGACAGACAGACAGGCAGACGGATTGACAGAGAGACAGATATACAGACAGACAGATAGACAGATAGATAGATAGATAGATAGACAGAGAGACAGAGAGACAGACAGACAGACAGACAGATAGATAGATAGATAGATAGATAGATAGATAGACAGACATATTGACAGAGAGACAGATATACAGACAGACAGACAGACAGATAGAGAAACAGACAGACAGCGAGACAGATAGACAGATAGATAGACAGATAGACAGATACTCTACAGATAGAGTATTCTTCATCTGCTTATACCGTGTGTCCTTTCTGTAGGGCACAGTGAGGGACAAAACCGGAATCTTTCCCGAGTCGTTCGTGAAAATCATTAAAGCTCTTCCCGAGAGTGACTCTGAGGACGAGGGCGGAGCTTCCAGGAAGGGGGCGCGTGCTCAGGGTTCCTACAGCTGCCTGCGCTGCTACCTCCTGCAGCCAGAGGGCATCGAAACAAGGTCAGACACTCCTGAGGAGAGCATGTGCATATGAGTGCATATCTTTTTAACCAATAATTAACCACTGTCACGCCTAGAAACTATATTGCAAAACCCCGGCAACCATCATAGCTTTTGAATATGAATATTCTCCTGCTAGTGATGCCTCTGAATGTGTATTTATTGTCTGCTGTAGGGACATTTGCGTTCAGGAAGATCTCTCGATTCGACCGTCTCTTGAAGATCTGCTCTCCCGAATGAGGTACCTTTGTCCCTGTTCCAATCAGGTTCTCCTGTTTGACATGCAATGTGTCCTGAATACAAGAAAGCCTCATTATTTAAATATTCTGCCATTTAATACCGTCAAACAACCTAATCAGGTTATGTTTGCGTTTATTTTCTCATACCCATCATTAGCATCTTTAATTTTGTTGTTCTTTTCACTGTGTGTGAGGAGAGCTGGCGTCTCTCTTGAATATTCACACCTTATTTCAAATACCAAGTTTCATGCCTTATTTCAAATAGGGGCTGAAAAAAATGCAGTAGAAACGAAATGAACAACAGAAAAACATCTAGGAGGAAAAGACTTTTGAAGTGGAATCATTAAGAATGACTTCTAGCAAAAATCTCAGTTTCTATTTATTTTGATGGTCCCTTTACTACGTTCTACTTACTATAAGTAACTTTGTAACTACATGTCAACTGACTCTCATTAGATTATTAGCTTAATATCTGCTAACTCTTTATTGTGATGCTCCTTCAACAGACTTCTACTCACTATAATTAACTTTCCAACTACATGTCAACTTATTAACCTGAACCTTAACAGTTTACTAGTCTACTAATACTGTAATGACTGGTAGCTGACATGAAGTTTCAAAGTTACTTATAGTTATTCGCAGGGCTTGAAATTAAAGGAGTAGTTCACTTTAAAAAAAAAAACACAAAAAAAACTTTTGCTGATAATTTACTCACCCCCATGTCATCCAAGATGTCCATGTCTTTCTTTCTTCAGTCAAAAAGAAATTAAGGTTTTTGATGAAAATATTCCAGGATTTTTCTTCAAAGAATGCACTTCATTGGGCACCAAACGGTTCAAGGTCCAAAAGACAGTTTCAGTGCAAACTGTTCAAAGGGCTTTAAACGATTCCAGACGATGAATAAGGGTCTGATCAAGTGAAACGATCGCTCATTTAAAAAATAAAAAAAGTTTAAGTTTTATAAGCACAAATGCTCGCCTTGCTCTGTACTGTGATGCGCGTTCGTGACTCTCCTGTTTGAACTCGTTCATTAAAATGAATCTTTTTTTGAGTCATTTCGTTCATTCAACGTACGAAATGAACAAAATGACTCGAAAAAGGATTCGTTCAATTTTGATGAACAAGTTTGAACAGGAGAGTTTGCTCACCAGCCACTGTGGTTAAAGTTGATTGATAACATTGATACAATTATGGAATTACTTTTGTGCCAATAATAATGAATGTAACTTTTCGAGAAACTAATGTAAATATCAAATTTAACTGAATATCTTTGAAACTGGAAAAAAATAAATCGCAGGCAATTTTTGAATACACTGCATGTTTTGCTGTTTTTTCATCTTTCTTTCGCCGATCTGAACTTACAAACGGGCTTCCAGAGTTTCCGTTTGCACTTTTACGCTCGTTTATGCTCTGATTAGTAGAATGTCTAAAGTGGACCATCAAAATAAAGTGTAACCCAGTATTCTTCAAAATAAAAGCTAAAATCAAAAATAAAGACTAGCGACATGCTAATGTCAATCCGAACAGCTCAGATTGTTTTTACAGAGCAAAATGAATCACACTGTCAACATTTACTGCGGTATATAAAAAAATGAAATCTTCAAAAACCAGAGATTGATCCATACTACTTCAATGAGAAATCATCAGATTCAACCAGATTTTTTTTTTCTGTAATTTTATTCTCTCTACAAACTCAAGGCCCAAGGCCAATTTGTTGAGCAACGCTGGATTAATGTTTAATAATAAACCTCATTTGCATGATTACGTTGAATATGCATCTGTTATTTGAATGCCGCATGCACAGTGTTAAGTAATTAGCATATAAGTCACATGACTGCAAATACAACATAGAAGCCTCAAATTACATTATGCTAATTATATTTGCCCTTGTTATGACCTCTAAACTATTGTGCAATTTGTTTTCCTCTCTTCTCTTCTGTTTTCCCCTCAGGGAGCTCTTTCATGTGGAAGATATTGCTTTGAACTACCGGGACCCCGAGGGCGATCTGATACGGATATTAGACGATGAAGACGTCGCTCTGATGGTGCAAGAGAGCAAATACACAGGGTCAAAGGTCAAAAGACCCGTGAATCAGTATCCTTGGGAGCTGCTGGTCACACATGCCAAAGACATGACGGTCTACAACACAGAGTATTAAGATGAGCGCGCTTTTTGATCACCTCTTCCTCCTTTTTTTTTTTTTTTTTTAAAGGGATAGTCCACCCAAAAATGATTCTTCTAGCATTATTTACTCGCTCTTGAACAGTGTTATGCCTGATTACACGATTTTAGCCCGATTTTGGCACGATCCATTTGACGTAGGGTGTCGTGGGGATTCGTAAACGACAACGGGCGTCGGGACGCAAGATTCGATCGTATCATCTCGTATAGTGCGTCATAGCGGGCGACAACCTACGTCGCGTCTGCGATGCTTCACGACGTCACGAAAATAAGACTAGCATGTTTAATTTTTTTAGCGGTCGTCCACGACGGTTCCGTCGCATGTATGAGGTTGACCAATAGGGGGACAAGCTTTTCCGTACACAACTTTCCAAAAATGGTGAAACGAAAGAGAGATGATGGTGCTAACGTTAAAACTAAAAGTAAAAATATATAAGAAAACAATATTTTACCTCAAGTTGTCTTTGGAGGATTGACAGCCCATACTGTCCTCTTCAAGCAATCCAGGAACGTGTCCATTGTCGGGTTTTTTGTAACAGACAAAAAAAAACTAAATCATATAATCTGACAGTGACTATCGTAACGGACAAAAAAAAATCGCGTAATCTGACACAGTGACTATCGCAACAGACAAAAAAAAAAACGCGTAATCTGACAGTGACTATCGTAACGGACAAAAAAATTGCGTAATCTGACACAGTGACTATCGTAACAGACAAAAAATCGTGTAATCTGAACCAGGCATTAGGCGCAACACATTACAAAAAAGCTATTTATATATAAATTTATATACATTTTTTATGGGCCTTTACATTTGTAAGAAACAACATTTGCCAGGTGAGAAAAAGTATGGCAAAAGTAATGCAACGCATTATTTTCCATAACAAGTAACTAACACAAATACTTACTTTTTTCAATATTGTATTGTCAATATGTCCCATTACTGCCCTTGAATCGTTCTTTTGAGTCAAAATCAGTTGATCAAGTTCACAAAACTGGTCTGAATGATTCATTCATGAATCAGACTGATTCGGTTCTCAATTTACTGATTCACTGATACGATTGTGACGGTTCAAAGCTCACTGGAAGAAAAGACTACTACAGTAAATCGGCATACGGCCCATTTATATGATGCATTTGTGTCTTTTTGAAGTGTAAAAGTTTAAGTTTCTGGTTTTTGTTTTTGGAAATGTGCAGCAGAAAGTGGATAAGAGGGTGAGAAAATAGTGCCGAAATGTTCATTTCTGGGTGTCTAATTCTTTAATGCAACCAGTATTTCACAGTGGAATCTAATGCTGAATGTATTTTATACAGTCCATATTTTCAGTGCTAATAAATACAGATCTTCTTCTGCATTATAAGCAGTAATGGTGGTGTGACATCTGTAGCGTTTCACTTTTTTGGTTTTTGAAGTGTTTAGCCAACTTCCTCTTTCAATTCCTTTCTTGGCAGGAAAAGTATTTTCATAAATCATGGGTGACTTGATGTGTGGCGCATCTTGACTTTAATGACATATGTTTGCACTTCTGAATATGTCAATTTTATTCATTAAAGTGAAACAGGGAATGGTGCTGATATCTCACACGTATGTATATTTACATCACATACACAAACCCACAAACATAAAGTTGGTACATTGATGTGTGGAAGGAGCCTGATCGGACCGATAAATCAGTGTGAGAAATGTCCTGAAACCAAATAAGCTGCAGTTAATCATTAGCTGTGTTTGCTAAGGCAAGCTTCACAAACACATTAGTCAGGGCTTGTGATTTCAACAAACCTCTAGCTGGAGATATTCAACTTGACCACAAGACTGGGTTACACTTGATTTTACAGTGTCCATGTTACATGTAGTAATTCAGTTATGCATAATTACATGCAACTAAACCAAACCTAATCTTATAGTAAGTATATGTAGTTAATTATTATTATTATATAATAACACTCTAGCGAGGACACCTTAAAATAAAGAGTAACCCTAAACTGTACAACAGAATGATGCTTCAAAATATTTGTTTATTATTACTTTTCATGTATCATCAATCATAAAACAACCCAAATTGAATCATATATAATATATCTCTAAACCCATTCTATTTTTAATGTAATATTGAATAATATAATTAATCATTTAATAATTAATAGTTTAAATATTATAATTAAGATAACACAATTTAGGCAGTTAAATTAACAATAGAACATAATATAATTATAGTATATAAATACAATATATTTATTTTCCATTTAATATTTTAATGTTTATTGATTTTTCTAAAAATTGACTATGATTTCATTAATTTAGAAAAAAACCCATTATAAATAAAAATTAAGATATTATACTAATTATTTATTTAATACTTAATGATTTTCCGAATTAAAACATTTAAGCTATTAAATAAATAAAGTTAACATAACACTATTAATGCAGTATCTCAACATTTTTCAAATAATAACTATTAAATAATTAATCATTTAATAATAGTTTGAGTGTTATAATTAAGATAACAAAATTTAGGGAGTTAAATTAACAATAGAACATAACATCTGTAGAACATATAAATAAATAATATATTTATTTTCCATTTAATATTTCAATGTTTATTTATTGTTCAAAATAATATACTGATTTCATTAATTAAAAAACCCCATTATAAATAAAAATTAAGATATTATACTAATTATTTATTTAATACTCAATGATTTTCCGAATTAAAACATTTAAGCTATTAAATAAATAAAGTTAACATAACATTATTAATGCAGTATCTCAATATTTTTTCAAATAATAACTATTAAATAATTAATCATTTAATAATAGTTTGAGCATTATAATTAAGATAACAAAATTTAGGCAGTTAAATTAACAATAGAACATAACATATGTAGAGTATATAAATAAATAATATATTTATTTTCCATTTAATATTTCAAAGTTTAGTTATTTTTCAAAAAATATACTGATTTCATTAATTAAAAAACTAAAATAGAAATTAAGAGTTAGTTTTAATTAAGAAAATGATTAAATATTATTAAATCTATTAAATGAATAAAGTTAACATAACACTATTAATAAAGCACTTCAAATAATAGCTATTAAATAAGTAGAATAGAAAATAAGACCTATTGTATAATTAAATTAGTAATTCATAATTTAATGATTATATTTAAAAAGGTAAGCAATTCATAGAATAATGTATGTTATTAATTTAATACTTAACCTAACCCTAACCCTAACCCTATATATATATATATATAAGATTATAAGACTAGCATAATTATATTTTTTTTATGTAGTTTTAAATTTGGGGAAGGAATCATATGGCACATTGAAATCTGCAAGCCAAGCAGTTTTGACAGTTTGTGGCAAAGTAAACACTTTTGCGGTCAAGTTGGCACAGGCTGAAATAAGTTGACAACACTTGAGGATGTTCAACCCAGCAGTGAAGACCAGCGCTAAACTGACTCCTTAGACAGCGTTTGAGCATTTGATGGTGAGCTTCTGTTTCTGCTGCTGTTCATTCACAGAGGATTCAGACTCATCTTTCATTATTTGCTCGCAATGTGTTTCTTGTTTGTTAGGGAATATCAAAAATTTCCTGGTCACCTGCAGTTGTACAGAGTTTTCCATGAGTCCAGGCGTCTCTTTCTTCTTGACTCTGACTGCACTGTGGACGTCAGCCCTCATAGGATGTCCTCAACATGGCACATTTGCTCCAGGTGGGACTTGTTTTGCTGCATGCATCACACAAATGAGTGTTGATAGTGTTGCAATAGAAATGGATAATTCCCAGTCTCGGGACGTGAACTGCTCTAAGTTGAACATCACGTGTTGTCATCTCAAAATTACGGCAATTACGACATGGAGAAATTACCAGATTTTCAGCTTTTTCTATGTCTTCTGTTCCCAGAATCCTCTGCTCTCGAGTCTTTGGAGTGCCGTAATGACTACCGCTCCCATATCCACTGCAGCTGGAGGCACGATCCTCAAATCCCACTGTCTCTGATCCACATGGACCCGGATGACCACCGGTGAGACCCAAACATCAGATCGCACAACACACTATATGATACAGTGATAATATGAACAGGAAAATAATGCAACAAAGTTGGTTTCTGTCCTAAATATTCTTTAGTTCGTTTATCTTTACTATTTTAATAGTAAAATAATAATAATTTGGTAGTAGAAGAGTAATAATAGTAAAACAATAATTAATTCAGTAGTAGCTTAATACAGTTTAATGGTAATTATTAGTAATAGTAGTATTATTGTAGGGATAATAGTGAATCAAGCATAATACAGTAGTAGTGTACACTAAAATGTTAGTAATTCTATCAGAAAATCATTTAAAATAGTTAAAAATAAGCTACCATAAACAGAATGTGGTAAAGAAAAAAAGGTAATGGATATAATTTTACAGTAATTTAAAAAAAAAAACTTAGGTGTTCAGAATTTTAAATGGTTTTACTTTATATATTTTTTTATTCATATTTGAATACTTTATATTCATATGAATACTGTATATTCATATTTTTTTGATTTTTCATGAATATTCACTGAGTCAGTGGATAAATGTTTACTTACTGTAAGCTTAAGTAGTAGTTCACTTTAAAAAAAAAAAAAAAAAAAAAAAAAAAACTTTTCCAAGATGCCCATGTCTTTCTTTCTTCAGTCGAAAAGAAATTAAGGTTTTTGATGAAAACATTCCAGGATTTTTCTCCATATAATGGACTTCAATGGAAACCAAATGGTTCAAGGTCCAAAAGACAGTTTTAGTGTGAACTGCAAACTGTTCAAAGGACTTTAAATGATTCCAGATGATGAATAAGGGTCTTATTAAGCGAAACGATTGCTAATTTAAAAAAAAAGTTTAAGTTAAAGCTCAAGTTGGTCGCCTTGCTCTGTTCTGTGATGCGCGTTTGTGACTCTCCTGTTCGAACTCGTTCATCAAATTGAACTCGAAAAGTTCATTCCAAGTCAACTCGTTCATTTCGTTCGTTGAATGAACCAAAGGACTCGAAAAAAGATTTGTTCATTTTGATAAACAAGTTAGAACAAGACGACCATTTGAGCTTATAAAACTAACTTTTTTTTTTCTTTTTTTAAATGAGCGATCGTTTCGCTTGATAAGACCCTTATTCATCGTCTGGAGTCGTTTAAAGACGTTTGAACAGTTTGCAATGAAACTGTCTTTTGGACATTGAATCGTTTGGTTCCCAATGAAGTCCATTATATGGAGAAAAATCCTGGAATGTTTTCATCAAAAAACATAATTTCTTTTCGACTGAAGAAAGAAAGACATGAATATATTGGATGACATTGGGTTTTTTTTTTTTTTAAAGTGAACTACTCCTTTAAGTAACTTTTAAAAAGTTAAAATTATTGTAAATTATTTTATTTATATTTACATTTACGTACTTTTAAAAAATATGAATCAGCTCACAATTTATGGGGAGTCATTCCCAGAATGCTTTCGAACAATATTTTTTTTTACAGTAAAGTAAAAAAATAAATAAAATGTTTTTACTTACTGCTATGATTTAGGCCCAAGTTTGTGATTGAAGATGTGCTGGATTTTTTAACTGAGTAAAAAAATAAAGCATGACATGGACAATAAATACACTAATGCACAAGTTAAACTGTGAAATATACCGTATGATTGCTTATTTTTGCATTATTCCAGAGTATCACCTTGTGTTCAAAGTCGGACTCATAAGCCTTCCCAGAATCCTACTGGGCAGGAGAGAGTTTGTTGTCGGTATAACACATCTCTGTTTGCCATCGGCTTCGATGACGTGTTCTTCTTCCACACGCCGCACTCTTCCGGCATTTCCAAAACCTTCAGGCTCACAACATTTGGTACAATTAGTCCAGTAAACGTTAACCATAGGCATACTTAAGCACTGGCTATTTGTGTTACACAAGCTCAAGCTATGTCTACTATCTTCCCTATAGAAGATGCGGATCCACACTGGAATTTTGAACAGCTAGACGACACCCCCCCTCCTTCACGTCTGACCTCTGACCCCTTCAGACTGCATGAACAAGAGCGCTCTGTGAGTGTCAAAATGACCACGTTTAGAGTGACTTTCAGTCAGAAGTCACTCTAAACTGACATGAAAAGTCCTTCTTTCCATATTAGGAAGTCATGTTTGTCAAAAAGACCAACCCTGTTCTTATTAAAAAAAAAACTATTTTATGAGGTGGCACTTCCGTATGATGTGGATCGTACGAAAACATATTTTTTTTGGAAAAAAGTAAGCATGAACACTGTAAAAAATGTGATCAATAAGTTATGACAATATAAGTTAAGCAATTTTCAACTTTTTTTGTTATTCAAGATTCAGCACATTCAGTTCACTCAAGTCAGTTTAATGTAATTTAAATTGAAATGACTTAAACATCCAAGTTGATTGCACTTAAAAATTTAAGGCAGCAACTTTTTTTTTTACAGTGACACCCCAACAGTATGAAAACGTACAAATGATATTGTACAAATTCATACAAATTAGCCTCAAATTCTTCGAAACTTAAACTAGTTGCGAATCTCCACAAGCGTGTTGAAAAGACTTTCCTCCAGTTCTTTGTGATTTAATCTCAACAAAAATTTGTTGTTTTGTTAAAGCTAACTGAATTATATATTGCACTTTTGGAGGTGGAGACTAATCACAAAATAGTCAAGGATCAGAAAGGCGAGAAAATTCACACCAAATCAACACAAAAAGACATGGAAGACAGCAAGAATAAAACCGAGGTCGGCGAGGTGTTGTTTGAAGGGCAAGAACTGATATCTGAATGTGAGTATAAAGAGAAACCCAGTCAAAGTCTGTGATCAAGTGGAGCCCCCTGGTGTCCTGGAGTACTATAGACCCTTATTTATTTCAGACGCTCTCCCTGGTCCATCTAACCTACACTGTGTGCTCAATGGTGGGAAGAATGTGAGCTGTAGCTGGGATCTCAAGACAGATCTGACCCGATACATCATCTACACGATATCCTACCGGACACACTCCACTGCGCCGTGAGTGTTTGAGAGCGTTATGGATGGTGTGAAAGATGTCTTTAACTCTGACAGGTGTAATCTCTTTCAGGGCTGAGTGGTACTGTGTTGAGAAGGTGCAGGTCACAAATGAAGGAGGCTTTTTGAGGACGGTTGGTGCTTTCAGCATCTTTGAGCCTGGAGTACTGCAGGTGCGACTCACGCCAACGCCGGTGACCAAAGTGATCCGGTCTTACCAACACAGTTAGTACAAATAACCCTTCCTCTTGAGAAATACTTGCATGCTGAATGCTGCAATTGACCAATAACAGTCCAGAAAGCTGTATTGATTAAATTGTTATTGATCCGGGTCTGTGTCCGTGGTCTAGTCCAGCCCGCATGTCCCACGGGTCTGAGCGTTGAACTGAGAGGAGAAGACTGGATCTTGAACTGGACTCTGACAAAGTACCGTACTGTACCTCTCACCACAGAACTCAAATACTGGAGCATACTAACTCCTGTGAGTATTTGACTACTTTTCTAGGCAATATTTATTAACAATTATTATTTATTTATTTTTATAAGGTTGTTTCAACTTTTAAACTGGCAATTTTCTGTCCTAGGAGTTGATTTTTAATATATAATTAAAATGTAATTTTTTTTCTCATGGTCACATTCTTTCATACACTTTTTATTATGCCTTAATATGTTTTATTTTGATACTTTAATTTACTGTTAACATAAATATAACAAAAGGTTTAGTGTTTTTACATACTGTTCTGATTTAGGCATTTATATACATATACAGTATATGATAAAATACAAGCTATAAGACAAAATACTATTTGTCTATGCAATATTTATTAACTATTAATTACGATACTTGATAGCTATGCAATTAGCCTTAACTAGAAAAAGTAGTCAGCCTTTTTTATGCCAAAAATGTTCAAAACTTACTTTCCATCACAGAATTTGATTAACTGCCATTTTATAAAATGTTGTCAGCCACTTTTGATTTATATGCTGTTGAATGTTTGATGATCGCTTTAGATTACATATGCGCAGGTAATGCTTCTATCGATTGGTTCTGCTTCTTCTTCAGTTGTTTTTGGATCCAGAGATTCAGTATTCCTTCAGAAGATGCATAATAGCGCCCCCTACCGTATAACAGTGAGCACATAGATTGACAGAAAATTCCGTAAATATATATATATATATATATATATATACACAAACACACTCACATAAAGGATTGTTAGGAACACCTGTTCAATTTCTCATTAATGCAATTATCTAATCAACCAATCACATGGCAGTTGCTTCAATGCATTTAGGGGTGTGGTCCTGGTCAAGACAATCTCCTGAACTCCAAACTGAATGTCAGAATGGGAAAGAAAGGTGATTTAAGCCATTTTAGTGTGGCATAGTTGTTGGTGCCAGACGGGCCAGTCTGAGTATTTCACAATCTGCTCAGTTACTGGGATTTTCACTCACAACCATTTCTAGGGTTTACAAAGAATGGTGTGAAAAGGGAAAAACATCCAGTATGCGGCAGTCCTGTGGGCGAAAATGCCTTGTTGATGCTAGAGGTCAGAGGAGAATGGGCCGACTGATTCAAGCTGATAGAAGAGCAACTTTGACTGAAACAACCACTCGTTACAACCGAGGTATGCAGCAAAGCATTTGTGAAGCCACAACACGCACAACCTTGAGGTGGATGGGCTACAACAGCTGAAGAGCCCACCGGGCACCACTCATCTCCACTACAAATAGGAAAAAGAGGCTACAATTTGCAAGAGCTCCCCAAAATTGGACAGTTGGAGACTGGAAAAATGTTGCCTGGTCTGATGAGTCTCGATTTCTGTTGAGACATTCAGATGGTAAAGTCAGAATTTGGCGTAAACAGAATGAGAACATGATCCATCATGCCTTGTTACCACTGTGCAGGCTGGTGGTGGTGGTGTAATGGTGTGCGGGATGTTTTCTTGGCACACTTTAGGCCCCTTAGTGCCAATTGGGCATCGTTTAAGTGCCACGGCCTACCTGAGCATTGTTTCTGACCATGTCCATCCCTTTATGGCCACCATGTCCTCATCCTCTGATGGCTACTTCCAGCAGGATAATGCATCATGTCACAAAGCTCGAATCATTTCAAATTGGTTTCTTGAACATGACAATGAGTTCACTGTACTAAAATGGCCCCCACAGTCACCAGATCTCAACCCAATAGAGCATCTTTGGGATGTGGTGGAACGGGAGCTTCGTGCCCTGGATGTGCATCCCACAAATCTCCATCAACTGCAAGATGCTATCCTATCAATATGGGCCGACATTTCTAAAGAATGCTTTCAGCACCTTGTTGAATCAATACCACGTAGAATTAGGGCAATTCTGAAGGTGAAAAGTGCTCAAACACAGTATTAGTATGGTGTTCCTAATAATCCTTTAGGTGAGTGTATATAAATATATATATACACACTTTGACAGTATTAGCAGAAGTGTGTAAAAAGTGTTTTTAAAAGAGTCTATCTTCTAAATGGTCAAAAGTGCTGTAGCTGAAAAAAACACCCAGTTTCACTTGCAAGAGCATGTATGTTAACTTCCCTCTTTGTCTGTAGGAGGATGTAAAGAGCATCTTTCTCTCTGATGGAGAGATGGTGTTTGCTATATCAGAGAGTTCTCTCAAGGGTTCCTCAGAGTACCAGGCTCAGGTTCGCTGTAATGTGAGCTCAACCAGACGTTCAGGATGGCGTTACACTGGATATCCCTCAGAGTGGACCGACCCTGTCTACTGGACCACACAGCCTGGTCTCTACATATCTACAGTCTTGTTACAGTACAAGAAACCATGATACATTACACAAACCTTATCAATGTATGTTTTTGCTTCAGAGCCTCTTGCACCAAATCTAGTTGCATTTCTCCTGTATTTCCTCATCGCAACCCTCGCATCAGCCGTCTCCATCGTAGTTTTCATCATTCTGGTTGTTCTTCAAAGGTAAATAAAATTTGATTCCTTTCATATTTATGAATTGCAAAGATAGAAAGTGGAAGTCTTTCTTCTCTCTTCAGAAAACTAAGAGAATGGGACGCATCTCTTCCATCTCCTGTCCACAGCAAAGTCTCAGAGGTGTCACAGGTAGGTTGACCTGGTAACTTAGAACACATCTCTATGGCCATTCCTGTCATCAAATTTGTGATGTTTTTTTATCCGAGTGTTCATCTGGTGGAAACCATCGGTTGTTGATTTGTTGATGGGCCCTATCATACACTCTGCGAAATGCAACGGCAAGTGCGACGCAAGTGTTTTTTGCAAGTTTCAGCCCAACGCAGTAATCATTTTTTACGTCTTGTGCCACGTTGTTTCAGGCGCATTGTTGACGCGTTGCTATTTTGAGGAAACTGAAATCGACTGCACCATTGACCGACTAAAACCTGGTCTAAAGCATAGACTCTGTCTATCCTAACGAGCTGAGGATCTGAATCAGGTGTGTTAAATAAGGGAGACATGGCACAATATGCAGAGCAGTGGGTCGCGAGGACTGGAGTTGAGAACCCCTGGTCTAAAGTCAATGACGCAGAATTTGTTATTTGCTATTTAAAGAGTGCATTAGCAATATGCCCTTATAGGTGGGTGCAAAACGCTCATACACTCTGCTAATTACACACAGGGACTTGCAACAGCACACAAACATGCCAAATATTAAAAATAAAAGTATTATAATGTAAAAGATTATTATTGTGTATATAAAGAGACAGTGGAATCCGGCTTGTCCCATGGCGCTTTAACCTTATGCATGAGCAGATCCGTTTTTTCTCTAGAGATATGTTCAATCTTTCCGCTTGCAAATTCCATCATATAAAGAGCGAATCCGCCATGGTGCGAGCGCAACTGGCGTTTAAAGGAAATGGGAGATGAGACTGATCTGAAAATGGCCGACCATTTTTCCCATTGTTAAAGTAGTGAATGTGCGCTTGCACCGTGAGATTTAGGCCATGCACTGTCTTAGATTATTAAAATAGGGCTCAATGTCTGATTACCTCCAAATGCATTCGACTGAGCAAGATTTTTTTGGGACTCATGAATTTGTTGATTTCCAATTATACCAGGTGTAAACGATGCCTATAATCTTTTAAATCCAGTACTCAGTCATAAGCTAACTGAGCGAGCATCCTGTTTTCTGCTCTGCTAGCATCCTCAGATGGACCACTTACCCTGCTGTACCGAACTGAAGGATCCAGAAATCAGCAACGCTCAGATTGTAGATGTCCGTCCACAGTTTTCCTCACTGTAAGTCAACTATTCATTCCTGGAATGCTCTGTAATTTTGGAAATGGGAAGTCCTAAAATTCTTAAGTAACAGATAAAAATGTATGTTCTGAACATGAATATGACTTCTTCCACGCAGCAATTCAGAAAATACCTTGACCTCCAATGGAAACAACCTCTACCGTGAAACTGATGGTGATCGAGTGGTTTTGCACGTTGATGATCCATGCCTTCAGTGCTCTGGGAATGTGATGGGAATAGATGGTACATACCAGCCCAACTTCCATGACCTAGTCCTCCCATGTTCAGAGGGATACTTGCCGAATCCTGCAACATCTGTCAGTACTACCCAGAAAGCTTGGCAGGAAGATTGCTCTCTGAATGTAGAAATGGATGATGGGTACATGAATTGCCCTGAGCCTGATTTGAACAGAAGCACAAATCCCCATTTTTTCCATACACAAGATTTAAACACAAATGTTTGCCATGAACCCTCTCCAGGAAGTTCTCCAGAAAGAATATTAGTGGTTTATTATTCAGCAAACATAGAACGACACTGAAGAACAAAAGGAAGAGAACTCACAGAAACTCTGGGCTGCTGTTTCCACAGTGACCACCAGAGGGTGGTGTAGTTTTACATTATGTACTGTATTTTGAGACTTTGGATGACGCCAGGGGTGTCCAATCCTGCTCATGGAAGGCCACTGTTCTGCAGAGTAAACACACTGGGACCAGCTAGTCAAGATTTTCAGGATAATGAGGAACCTCAAGGCAAAGACATTGGCCCTCGAGGAGCAGGATTGGACACAAAGAATTGGTGCGCATTACTGTTTCACTTGGTGAAAAGTCTTTTTAATCTTTGATATGGTGTCTTATATAACTACTAAATATTTCCCTCAGTACCTGTAACTGGAAAAATAACTTTATTTTAGAGCTGCCATAAAGCCAAAACAATCTGTTACTTTAATTAATTTCCTATTATCAATGTAAAGCAGCTTTGGAACAATTTACATTGTTAAAGGGGCTATATAAATGAAGATGACTGTATGACAGTAAAATTGTTAATTATTTCACATAGACAGCAATGATAGTAAATAAAGAGCACATGACGTCTCCTGTTTCTCAGATTTTTTTCCCTGAGCAAAATACTTTGCTTATTCTTGCGTCTCCTCTAAAGCAGCAGTTCTAAAACTTTATGAATCCCCCATTGCCTACAACAAAATTCAACTTTTGACAGTTGTTTAAATCCGTAATCCGTTAGATAGTTTATTTACAGAAGTAATAAGGAAAGGGATTATTTAAAATGTGTTTTTACTCACAATTTCTTGCTTGGTAAATTCATCATAAAAATGTCCATGGAGATTTAATATTTTGTTTAATTTTGCATGACTTTTCCCAGTACTAGAATTCAAACTAAAATGAATATGCCTGAAATAAGACTGTGGGAAACAGGTTCTTCAAAGGAGAAAAGGGTGTTGGGGGATGAATTCAAATAAGAAATTATTAGAAGTTATTTTAATGGAGGTTTTATCTTACACCGTGTCCTAACTACACGCGACGCCGCGACACGCGATAAAAGGTATCTTTTCCATGTTAATCAGAGTTAATCGCGACACGCTAAGTTTCTAATTTAGAAATAGTTCCTATTTTTGCGACGTTGTGGCTGACAGAATGAAGAAATTACACTGGTAATGAGTACACATTATTTATTTTTAGTTAAAAATAGGTCACTGTGCCACAGCTATAATGGATAATTTACCTCAGATTTTGAAAGCAATATAACGTTCAAAATTAATTCTATGAGTATATTTTGTTAATGTTTTGATTTTTAATAATGTTATTTCTTGATTTGATTATGTCCTTACCCATTTCCAATGTGAGTGCGGGCTAGCAGCAGTGCGCTTTCACAGAGAGACTCCACTCACACGCTGTCCTGAATGTGTGCGTCTCACAGTCGCGTTGCGTCTAGCGTGGACAGACACACTTGCTCTCTCTGTCATTTTATCGTGTCGCGTGTAGTTAGGACACGGTGTTACCAGTTTCAAAGTCTTGATTTTGTTTTTTGGGTTTGCATGCTTGAATGTTCAAAAAACACATTATTTTCCCCATATTATACATTGTTTCAGGACCTATCTTCTCAGTCTGTTACTAACTCTCTGTTTAGTTCCTGTCTCTATGAAGCCCCTCCTTCAGAAAGTGCAGTGTGCTCTGATTGGTCGGCATGATCAGTATGCTATGATTGGTCAAGTGCTTTGAGTGTGTTTGGGAAATGCCACACCCTTGACCATAACCACATGTTTCAACACACAATTAAAGCAACTCAACTAGACCACTTACCTTTATTTTGCGTATTACATAGGCAGGAGTTATATAGGAATATTGTGACGTTTTCATTCCCGGAAGAAAACTAAAGACTACAGTGGAGGCATTTCAGGGAGTTCAGAAACAGTGCGCATTGATATAGAGAATAACTCCTGCTGGAGGGACTTTGTGCTTTTGTAACCCTTTTCATGCTCAAACCAAAACATTACACACTAAAGAAAGCTGAACATGTAAAAAAGCATCATAGGTCCTCTTTGCGTCTTGCAAGATGCATCTTGAGAACCGCTGAGTTTCAGAAGAGATCTCAACATTGTATCAAATTGTGGTTAGTTTTTTTTTTTTTTTTTATTAAAATGTCATTGATTTCAAAATGAACTCAAAAATGTCTCACTGAAATTGTTGGTGAAGCCATTTTTGTTTCTTTAGCTCAACTGATATGTAAAGCCAAGGAATTTGATTCTTGGATAAAATTTGATCGTTTGATTTCTAAACATCTCACTCTGCCACTGTAAAGAGCACACTATGGGCCCTATTTTAACGATCTGAAACGCAAGTGTCAGTAACTTTGTGGGCGCTGTTGCTATTTTCCCGGCGGGATAAATGCCTCTTGTGCCTTGCGCAAATCTAAAAGGGGTTGGTCTGAAGTAGCGTCATTATTCATAGGTGTGGTTTGGGCGTAACGTGAAATAAACCAGAGCACCATCCAACATGCCCTTTAAGAGCAGGTGCGCATGTTGCATGATGGATTGTTATTATAACAGCGGGTTTACCAGGCGCACGCCAGGAGCATTCACAGCCGATGAGACCGACGTTCTTGTTAGGGGAATGAAAGACAGAGAAGTGACGTTGTATGGTAATGGGAGAAACCCTCGCACATCAGCGTCGGTTAAACATTATATACGTATGTTTCTTGCCACTATTGGGCAAACAGGTCTGATCCTTTAGTACTACAATTAGTCTTAAAAAATGGGTAATAAGGTTTTTTCATCTTCATGTAAACCACAATGATTTCCCTCATGTGTTAATATTTTTCCTTGTTATAATGTATGATTAGCGAAAATAAAAACTGCTGCATCTGTGTTGATGAGAGAATCAAAGTGTATGCGCGTTATGCACCCGCTACATTATGGCCAAGCATCTGCGCTTAAAATAGCATTATGAACAACATGCAACGCGCCACTGACTTTAGACCAGGTTTTTTTCTGGTCAGAATTGTTTTCTGGAAGTGTAAAATAGCACCAGGGAATGTTTGCGCCGAAACACGCCTCCTTTTTGCGCCGATCCGCCCAGGGAGCACAAGTTCATTTCCTAGTTTACCGACGTGCGTCTTTTGATGGAAAAATCCCGCTTTGCAGGCGTGCAAAATAGGAATGACACATGCGTTTGTGTATAGTCATTTGCGCCGGGTGCAAGATAGAGCCTGTGTTGTCACCCTCACAGCTGTTTTCATTTTGTGTTTTCTGAATGACTCTAGACGCGTGCAGCAAACAGCTGTTTGACTGTTAAAGAATGAGTAATTACCATTCACTCTCTTATTTCAAGATGTTATGTGCGAGTGTATGTGTTTCTCCAGGCAGCGATGGTCTGCTTGTCAAAGGAAACAGCTGTCATTTGAGCAACGGGGCAACTGAAAATAAAGAAGTAGAGATATGGAGAAATGCACCGTCACGCTCCTTAACAATGAACGACAGAACAGAGATTCACTTTCAAAACTAGTGTGAGTTCAATCAAAATAATCTTTAAATGTGATGTTTGTGTCTCATCTAATCTGATGGATGGATATCTCACCTGTATCTTCCACACCTGCCTGTGGGCTGAAGGCCAAAACACACAAATACACTTTTTCTAGTTGCATGGGTGTTTTTCTCAATATGCTGCATGATTTGTGGTCAAATTGATGTCTGTAAGTGGCAGGAGAAGTTACTTGCCAAAGTTCAAATCCCTCTTGTACTTGTTTCACATCTGGCTCGTACAGAAACAGCTGTGTCTGCCACGTCCACCTCAGGATTTATGGCCCACCTTCACTCATCCCTCGTTCCTCTACATCAGGTGCATCCTCTTCCCAGCTATTTCACCTTTCATGCACCTCTTCGTCTTTAATCTCTGTCTCTTGATCTCCCGAAGTCTCGACCCTCATCGTACCTTCCTTTAATTTCCACCCGTCCCCCTATATGCCTCTCATGAGCCATTTTAGATCTGTCATTCACAACTGCCCCTTGAACTCTACTACCACCATCATCCCATCTGTTTTGCCCTCTCCCATCTTTCCTTTTGCACTTTCATTCACACCCTTTCCCTCTCACCCTGTTTTCATCAACCACCATCCATTTAGCTTTTTTCCATTTCTGTCTTTGTTCTGTGCCACCTTAAGCTTGTTACAGCAATATCATGAAAACCATTATTTTCACAATGTAAAGATCTCTGATCTGTTCACCATTTAATTGAAATTATGCTGCAGAAATGGACCAATTAGAAAGGGCTGTGGTTATGAGGTCACAACCACGAGGATAAATAGACCCCCTTTATGATTGACTCGACTAGAGGCAATACTTGATTTGAAATCTTATAAAGGCCATTTCCTTAAAGGGTTAGCCACTTAACTGTCACCGTCCCACAGGTGGGACGTTTGCCACTATATTTTTAAAACAATAATATCTTAGTAAATACCTTAAAAAATATTGACAAACTATATATAATTTGAAAGCTTACAATCTCTAGTTTCCATATTTGGTGACTGATTTTCAAAATATATTACAGAGAAGCCATAATTTATCAATATAAAACAAGAATATTTTCATACTCATAAGATGTGTTCAGACCTTTATTTTACAATAGCAGTAAACATGAAAAATCATGAAAAAATGGTAGAAACCTCAGTTTGTTTTCATGCCAAAAGTTCAAAAGATAGAATCCATTCAATTATTTTGGGAAAAAAAGGTCTGAAAGTTTGAAATATCAAGAAAAAAAATAATAAATTCACCATTTGTGACGTGGCAGCTAGCTATGACTTACATGCGTGTTCTTTGTATGTGTTTCTTAGAGGTTCAATTCATATCAAAATCTGCCAAACTTCCCATACTACTTCTGAATAGGATCTCTACTTCAGAAATTGTATGAAAATTGTGAAAATAATGGTTCATATCACTCAAAACACGAATGGAAATGCAGACGCCCTTATATGGGCAGTAATGGAGTCTGATTGTGCCCTAGTGAAAAAGTTTGGTACTGCGCTCAAACAAAATCTTACTGAAAGCTCATTTTTTGAGATAAACCTAAAATTTGAAACACAACTTGTTCAGATTTTTGGCTTTGATTTTTCTGCAGTTTTAGAGTAGCCCAGGTTTTGAAAATATATATTTTATGTAAAATATGAATAATTAATATTTTTACATTGTACATTTCCATAAACTCAAACTTCTAACTTTTCTGTTTAACTTTCTTAATTTATTTCACTTCTACAAAAATCTGCCAAATGTCTTCTTTAAAACAAGACCAATCATATGTCTATATTCCAAAGCGTTCTTGAATTACAACCATTTAAGTTTGAAATGTGCATTTTCATGTCTATTCAAAAAAGGGGGGGTGACAGTTAAGAGGTTAAATATCCCAAGTGACTACCGTGGCTCAACTATATGTTTATCAAGCGACGCAAATACTTTTTGTGCGAAAAAACAAACAAAAATAACGAGTTTATTCGACTATTTCTTTTCTTCCTTGTAGGCCAGAAACGAGACTTCCTTAGATTTCCACGACGCATGCGCGAGAATTGCGATCTGAAG